TAATGCTTTTATTGAAAAAATAAAATCAGTTTTTGCTCCTGCAGCTCTGCAGAAGTCAGCATACAATTTATCCGACATAGTAATGCAATCGGTGCAGGCGCGGTGAATGAAAGTCCATGCAATAAAACAAACAGTTTGAGGATGGTAATAGGTAAATTAAGCCATGGGTTAGACATCTGAAAGGCAGCCAGCGCATCAAGATATCTGACAGTGAATTTAGTGTCCACTCTGTAATTAGGCTAATGGCTCTAAACCCAGAGAGGAGGATAAATCGGAGCTGATCCAAGTGTTCAGAGGCTCCGACAGAGAGTGACAATGCAACAATAAAGCTGGGAGAGACGTAAATGAAACTGTACTCCGTTTGAAATCTTTCTTGAGACAAGCCTGAAGAATGAAACATGGATCAATTGATTGTTATTATTATTTATAGGTTTTTAATGATGTTGTTGAAGCACTGGATTCTAAGCTGGTGAAGATTCTCAGTCATCCAGGACATGATAAATAAAATAAAAAACGTTCAATACAAAAACAACTGGACTTTATTTGTAACAGAAGACATTTCGCTCCTCATCCGAGGAGCTTTCTCAATTCAATGAGCCCTCACTCACTGCTCATTGGATTGAGAAATCTCCTCAGACGAGGAGCGAAACGTCTTCTGTTACAAAGTCCAGTTGTTTTTGTATTGAACGTTTTTTTTAACTGGATTCTAAGGACTATTGTGCTGCACTATATTTAGACCTGTCTAAAGCTTTTGACACTGAGGACCATTATATATATGTTTTTAATTTACCCTTTATTTATACAGGTAGTCTCACTGAGTCACGAGAACTCATTTTCACGAGAGACCTGTTTTTTGGGAGCAGATGGTGGGAGTTAAGTGCCTTGCTCAGGTTCCCAGAATGGGGCAAATGAGGATAGAAACAGGTTTGGGTGTTTCACCTTTTCCACCCACATTTTGATGTTGTCGGCACCGGGAGTTGAACCTGCAACTTTCCGATCACAGGCCCATCTTCTCTAACCTCTGCGACACCACTCCCCATGTTATAAGCTCTCAGACATTGGTTTTTCAGATCACACTATCGGTTGGTTCTCTAATTATCCCTCAGATTGGAGGTGATGTGTTCAACATAATGGTACTTCTTCCAGCTACCTAACTGTCAACAATGGTGTACCACAAGGCTCAGTCTTAGGACCCACCCTTTTCACAATCTACTTAAATAGTGTAGGTCAGATCATTCCTTACATTTACATTCCTATGCCAACACTACAACTGTCGAGCTAATTCAGTTGCTAAGGTTTTCCAGCGTTTACAGTCTGCATTCGACATCATCCAGTCAGATTTGTTCCGTCTCAAACTGGTGCTAAATGCTGATAAAACCAAAGGGATGTTGTTTTCAAACAGGAATTTTGTACCAGCAGTCCTTCCTCCTATCTTATGTATAAATGGTGTTCCTATTGAGTTTGTCGATTCTTATAAACACTTGGGTATTTTAATTGATTCACATCTCTCTTTTAAGCCTCATCGAATATTTAGTAAAGAAACTGAAAGTAAAACAGGGTTTCATTTTTAGAAATAGATCCTGTCTAACTCTGAATGTTAGAAAACGGCTTGTAACTGTTACTTCCTTTCCTTTTACATAATTTCATAGTGTAACTGTTTTTGTTTCATTTTATATCATTTCTTTCATTTACTTTTCATTTTATATGATTTTATATGATTGCCTATTGTTGTCTGTACTTCATCTGTGTTCTTTGTTTAAATCAGGTCTTTGTTTTAAATGAGTCCTCAAGGCTGAATGTAACCTGTATATAAATAAAGGTTGAATGAAAAAAAAAATTAAAGAGAAATACTTTGACCAGTTTGAACTGTTGCAGTCCAATTCACATGTTGAACTATTCACGGCACTCTTTATTACATTTACACTTTATCCTCTCTTAGTAAACAGAGTGCTTTTACTGCCAAGAGCTCAATGACTGTAAACACTGCATCCAAATTTAAATATATTTACAGCAAATCCATTTAATTTAAATAGAGCCATTAAACTGCAATGCAATTCCAGGTGCTTAAGACGTGAAAAGCGTTAGGACATTACGGTGGTATAAAAGCACAGTTAGGAGAGTAGATGAATTAATGAAAATGGGAAGACCAGAATCAGAAGACTGTGTTTTCTGGTTGTTTGTTTCTCCACTAAATAGGAGCTTTGGCAGAATCTAACCCAAGCATGAGGCCAACGGTAAACAGAACATCTGTCAGAGGAAACTGAAAACCAGAGAGTGTGAAAGCTGAACAGGTAACATGAAAAACAGCTGTGATGGATTCAGAACTGGTGGGAGAAAAAAACAACAACTTTTTATCATATCCATTTCTTAGATAAAGTTTGCTGCCAATTATGTCTTCACAATACTAACCTCAACACTGTAAGTAATTTGAGGATGCTGAATTTAACTTTTTATGATGATGAGGACACCCTCTCTAACTAATTAATAATGAACTGTGTGTTTTTATGAGTCTCTTTTGTGTGAAAGCTGCAGACGCACAACTTTGAAATGCCAGCCTGACCTTTATTAGCTTGACTGGGATTAAAGCTGCACACAGAAAAACAAATAAAGCTTCTGTAACAAACACTTATGACCTTCAATGAAGGCTACTTATGAGTATGTGTCCAACAAGTCAACTATTCATGTTTCTGAGGGATTAAAAGAAAAACTTGCTGAGTGATGCTTTATTAGACCTACATATGAAAACTCATTCGTTTTTGTTTTTGTCTCCTTCAAACTCATAAAGCATTCACACATCCATCGCTGTTAGAATGGAAAGCGATGAAGATGTTGGATGAAGGCAGCTTGAGACTTGCCCTCTCTGGAGAGAACTCGAGTAAATTTGGATTTCAGACACCAGATCAGAAATCATGCATAAATGCTGTCTTGTTTACCTTATAAGATTTAAATTAATACATTTAAACTCTTATATGTTGTTACTCTAAAATTTTTATCATTTCTACACAAGATTTTGTCTCAATATAATTGAAAAAGAAGATTGGTGTGAGTTTAAATATATATACAAGTGTCAGAAATATCCATCCTTTAGTCCATATTTTATATCTGCTTTTCCATGAAGGGTTGCCAGGGAGCTGGTGCCAGTCTCTGGCGGTCACTGTGACGGGGACGGGGTGTATCATGAACAAGCCACAAGTACATCATAGGATCATATTAGCGTAGTAACATTTGGCATGAAACCTTCAGTTGTGAAACACATGTAGCCTCTGATTTAACTGAGTCCAAGACATTTCAGTTTATTGGTCAAAACAAGTGGCATTCATTGGATCAAAGTCATTAAAAGTCTATTTAATTTGAGTTGAGTTAGGAGGTATTGTTACATACGGATCTTAATGCTGGGGTTACAAGACGAATAACTGCTCATAAATAAACAAAAAGTAAAGTATAGTAGTCCCTTGGTTATCGCGGGGGATCCGGACCCTGAAGACCCGCGATAAGTGAAAAACCACGAAGTAGGAATAGTAGTAAAATTAGTAAGTAGTAGTTTATTTTAGTATATACAGTATAAACTTGAAGGCATTTTAAAACCTTCCCACACTCTTGCAATATTCTAAACAATGTTTCTAAACTCTAAATGCTTTAAAAGAGCACAGCATATCATGATTTCAACTCTCTGCCTCATCTGCTCTTTGCCATCTGCAAGCACTCTTGGCCACGCCCACTTCTCCGCTCTACACGGAGAACAGCTGATCAGCTGCAGCAGGAGTTTTATCCTGCAGTAAGGGCTGCACAAATGTGCAGGTACTAAAATATTTAAAATAATTTATTTTAAATAAAAAGTCCATGCCAATTGTGCGGCTCATCCATCAATCAGCCAATTGTGTGTCATGTCCAATCTTATTTTGAAAACCGCGATAGAGCGAATCCGTGATAAATGAACAGCAAAGTAGCAAGGTACTACAGTACATTGATTGTTGACACCGTCTATGTTATCATTCTCATTTTGATTAACTGGTTAATTCTTCTGTTTATTAAAA